TTTGTAATGTGAATTTAAGATTTATTTCTAATGTACTTGTATTTATCTACTAAGAAATAAGATTGTGAATAAATTGGTTCTTCAATGTGCTGTTATCCGCATTTTTTTATTCCTAATTAAAGATTATTTAAGTTTTGATAGAAAATCTCTATCAATATATTAAAGTTAAAAAAAAAATACATGTAACTATAATAATAATTTAAATAGAACATTAGGAAAATGTTAAGAATCTGAAAATAACCAAAAAAAAAAATCTAAAATAAAACAAAATCGCATTTACTCAAATTAAAATTAAAAACATTAAATGTAGAAAATTAACATAATTACTTTATAAATACTACTTATTAATGGCTTATTTGATTTTGTATTAAAATTTATATTTAATATTGCGTGTAAAAATAAAATAAAATAAGATAGTGGTCCCAGTAACAGTAACTGTTTGGTTTTGGAGATTGTCCATCACTATCAATATTTATTAGCATGTACAAGAAAAATACATCACGGAAGCATTGACATAAGCAAGAGTAGGCCCAGAGGCAAAAATTTCTCCTTCCATAAAAAGTGCCCACAATTTGTGTGCAGAAAGCTATTTTTTCACTAGTACACTGTATCCATCCAGGTATCGGATTATGCAATTTTTCATTTTTTATTTTTTTTTTCAAACTTGCAAGCTGATATATTTTAAAATAAAAATAAAAAATTATTTAAATATAAAGTATCACGATATTATTATATACATGAAAATATGCAAAAAGTTCACTCCCTAACCCACCAGCCGAATCAGAAAGAATTTTATATGAAAAGCAATTAAAACAAAAAAAAAGTTCTAATTAAGGAGACAACCAAACATACTTTTTGTCTTGTACCAGACCACAAGAAGCAGCATGATGCACGTGTGTGTTGTGTTTTCTTCCTTTTAAGTCTGTATATTCTCATGCTGTATTATAATTTAATTATATTTAGTAAAACAAAATATACAAGAAAAGTCAATCGTCAAATAATGTATTAGAGATGTAATTATTAAAATATATAAACATATAATCATAAATATTAAAGTTATTTATTCTGACCTTCTTGACCTAATCATACATTATTAATTTTTTATTAAATTGTTTATACAGCTTTCAAAATCGTAAGCAAAAGGTGTCCGCTGGTGTGCCTGAATTTGGAACTCATAATCATATTCCAATCATCTCATAAGATTATGTGATCGTCCACTAATGTTATCACACAGTCACCATTTTTATCAATAAAACGTTCCTATACAAAACTTTTTTTTGTCACAAATGCAAATTGCATAATTGTAAGACCTAACAAATTGGTATGCATCTGTTAAATATGATGCTTTGAGAGGTATGTCTTTATCATACAATTAGGAGAGCCTCTAACTCAATAAATGTACCTCTCATTTCCAAAACTGTTCATCAATTAAACAATTCACGCTTTGAATTCGTGCGAATTTGAGAGGAAAATCATGCAATTAATTCAACCCAAAAGTGCCTGAAATAAAGGGTTTTATGACATTGCAAAAAACTAAAGTAAATTGTCAAGAATAGTGACACCAATTATATCCTGACATAGTACAAATTTGAAGATTAATAGAACTCCAAGTTTGTATTTTAAAAGCAGACATATTTGTAGAGAAAATATCAATTGAAGTTGAAATGTTTAACTTTAATAACGTTTAAAAATATTAGAAAGTCTAATGATAAAAAAATAAAAATCCTTATAACATTGTTATATATTTTACCATGATAAACATTGTCAAAATTCCATTGTCGTCCAGCGGTTAGGATATCTGGCTTTCACCCAGGAGACCCGGGTTCGATTCCCGGCAATGGAATTACTTTTTCAATTTTATTCGCTTAACTCAACTATAATCCATTAGGCCCAAGAGTAAAAGATATGTCCAACTACAATATAACAGGCCCAATAACAAAAAACAGTTCACATCTATCGTAGCTAATTTAATTTTAGTTATTTTTTAAAAGAAATATATTATTAAACACAACAACAATTTGTGGTGTCTTTTAAATAATGCATTATTCGTAAAAGATTAAAATTTTTAAGCGAATCTTAATCCAAATAATGAATTAGTTTTTTTGTTAACATAAATTACTAAAATATGGAGGATACACTGAGGTCCACATTCCATGAACTAATAATTTTTCAATTTAAATTACACTGATAACGAAATAGTTAAAGAAGAAGTATGAAAAATAAATAATATATATATATATATAATAATAATAATAATTTTTAAATCTTATATACATTTAAAACCTTCTAATTTAAAATAATCAATTACTCTTATAAATATCTATAATTTGAACATATATAAATTTTTATACCAAATAAAATACATTTCATTATAAAATATTTTAAATCTTCTATAAAAATAAATTATCATATAGAAAGTTTCCATTCCAACCCCATACAAGTGAAAATTTCCTTTTAACTAGATAAGATTTTATGGGCATAAATGCTAAACAGCACCTCCTTTTCTTTTAAGTTATGTTTGGTTGTAAATAAATAGAGTGTGAAAAAAAGAGTAAAATAAATTTATTCAAATAAATAAATATATAAAAAGAAGAAAATTTATCACTTTATATATATATATATATATATATATATATATATATATATATATATATATATCAGCAATATAACTACTTAATTGTTATTTTACTTAATGAAAATAATTAATATTTAAAAAAACGTGTTTTATATCAAGTCGAGATACAAGAAATTATCATCTTTATAATTTAAAAAAACAAAATAAATATTTTAGGAGAAATTTTAAAGGTAATAATTCTAAAACATTAAAAACCATAATAAATATTTATTTCTCATATTAAAGTTGTGCAAAAAATTAAAATACAATTGAAAAATATATTCAGAATATTTAATACTGTTAAGTGATTTAAAAATTTAAATATAACTAATATTTTTTATGAGAGAAAAGAAATATATATTAAAATAACAAATTATTAATAAAACAAAATTTAAGATAAAAAATATATCTTTTCAAATCCTGCATAACATCTCTTAACTAATGGTGTGCCGAAAAGCCTCACCTAGATGCCATTCCTCTATCTTCTTATGCACACATTTTTCCTTAAAGTTGTTTTGCTTTTTCGTATGATTTATATAAAAAATAAAGAAAGTAAATTTAGAATAAAATTCCATTGTCGTCCAGCGGTTAGGATATCTGGCTTTCACCCAGGAGACCCGGGTTCGATTCCCGGCAATGGAAATATCTTGTAACAACACTTATTTATTTTCCTAACTCAACTATAATGAATAGGCCCAATATAAAAAAAAAACTAGGTCCATGTACGTGTGATGACTTAAAATAGCCCATTAGTCGTTGTCCAACAAAAACTTAACAAGTTTTTTTTGTATGAATTTTTAAAATTGATTTCTATAAATAAGTACGAAATGAAAAAAAAGGCAGATGGGTAGAATCACTTAAAATCCTATTTATAAAAGCTTGTAAAAGATTTGCCTGAAAAAAAAAAAAAACTGTATGTTCATATATTGTGGAGCCAAAAAATGTGCTTTAATTTCGCACACAAAATTAGAGTTTTTAAAACTAAATTATTTAAATCGACAAGTATTATTGTTGAAAATATTTATATCACAAACAGTTTGGGGCATCTACCATTTTACAAGATTTTTAAATAATCAAAGCGTGTCATAAGCAGTTTTATATATATATATATAAACTTACATTTTAAAAATATATTTTATTGATGAAAATAAGAAAGTTTCACGTTACGTAAACAATGAAATCGGTAATAATATCGGTTGAAGTTAAAGTTCACGATATTGTGACACATCAGTTAAAACAATTTAACTTTTATGGAATTTGATTTAAATTCTTACTTGAATGATATAGGTATTTTTGGGATAAAAATATGAAAAAATAATTTATGTATTATAAAAATGTGATGCTTTTATGACTTTTTTTTCTTTATCAAAATACAATAACAAACTGAACTTAAATAAATTGTATTGAAAAAAATGTTAAATAAGTTTAAGAACTCGTTTGATTACTGTTTCTATTTTTGTTTTTCAGTTTTTCAAGTTTTAAAAACTAAAAACATATGAATATTTTCTTAAAGTTAAAAATCATTTGTAATCTTTTTACATTTGTAGTTATTTCGTTTAAAATGATTTTTAAAAATAATTTTTCGAATAATTTTTCACTTATTTTTTTTTTAAATTTAATCCTATTTTAAAAAATTTAAAGTAAAAGTAAATCACGTCTTCAATCTCTTGTTAGAGGATAACAATCATTTATCGTCAGAAGACGTAATTAACTTCATTTTGATTTCATCATTTTTCATTTTTAACATGATTAAGATTTTTTTTTTAATTTTGTATGTAGAATTTATTTACGTCTTATGAAATTATCTTTTGAATATTCGTTAAGAGTTATCATATATTTGATAGGGTAACCTAAATTTCTAGTTTATTCATGTTTTAGATATAAAAAATTATTTAAATGGAATATAGTCATTTTTTTAACCTATTTAATCAGTAATTTAAATGTAAAAGTGAATTCATAACTTTATAAGCTAACTTAATTATTTTATAAAATAATAAAAATATATTTTATTAAAACATATACATAGATGGTTGGTTGTGGTGTACTCTCCCCTCCTGTATTGGATAATATATGTGAAGTATTAATATTTTTAGATTGATTACATCTTGCATGGGAAAATCATTTATTTAGTTGAATGGAAAGAGACAATAGTGCTGTACACGTTCTTCTGATACATTTTTCATTATTAGTTAAAAGTTATTCAAAATAAATGTCATAAATAAATTCAAGAATAAAATACTTATAATCTCTTAAGTTTTATTAAATTTCAACTAATAATGAAAAAAAATGTGTTTAAAAGGATGAGTGTGTTACTAGAAGGTCTCAACAGGCATAAATAAGTTGGCACATAAGGTGAACTTCCACTTCTCTATAGAGGCAAAAACACCTAAGATTGATGACAGATATTTGCAAACCCCATATACTCATTATTTTCCATCTTCTCAACCATGTTCTCAACTCCCACTCCACCTGTGATACCCAAAAACAGAAAATAAGTATGTTTGAATAATAAGCCAATCAACAAAAGGCATAATAATGGAATAGAATGCCAAAACTTCCAATTAAAATCATGTGGAGTACCTAAACTGATTGCGCTCAAAAAAATGGTGAAAGCTAGAACGAAGATGATGATGGATGCTCGTCCGAAGATAGCAATTATCTTTCGCACCACATGCTGGCCAGTTAACGCAGCTATCGTTGCAATCAAAATAAAGTATACAGCTGCATTTCCACCCCCACCCCATAAGAAAGATATTAGTAACTTTCACAAATCGCCTCTCTAAATATTAAACTAAAAAGTAACATTTAACCTTGTTCAATTTTAAGGTGTCATTTATTGTTAAAGATGATTTGGAACCTTATTTGTGGTGGGAGATCTTTTTTTCAATACAAATTAAAGAAAAGATATGGCACAACATTGGCTTTATCGAGTTTCTCTTATCTATCCAGAAATCTGCTACACATCGACTATTCAGGAATGATTTTATTTAGTTTTAGATTTTTGCTTCTTACCATAGGGAACAGGGAATCGTTCTAGAAGGTAGTATTGTACCACTGACATGGAGGAAGAGAAAACCATAGCAAAAGTTGATGTAGCACTAGCAACCTGCCGCAGAGGACACATGCATAAAAGCTATATTTCATGTCTGATTGTTCTGGGAAATCTAAAGGGTAATAGATGGTGAAGAATTGAGACTGTACCTGAGGAGGAATTCCCAACTCCAGAAAGAGTGGTCCCAAAATAAAGCCACCACCAAGACCAAGAAGTCCACTAACTATACCAGCTATTATTCCACAGGAACAGTAAAGGCAGATCTTGTGAAACTTCTTCCAATCTGTAATTTCCTTTTCCTTTGATGCAATCACTCTAGTTCCATTGCACAAGCATATGGCTTCATAAAGCGTAACAGAGACTGCAATAGGCACCTTAAAGTGACAAATAGGCAAGCCAAAGTTCATTTAGACCATATGGAGAAATGACATTATGCAGTTTTCAGCAAAGATGTGCATGTCAGTTTAACAAATCAGCCTTTACACACATGCAGGCATACTATATATCACATTTTTTTTTTTATATCTGCGGCCAATAAAGTTTAGAGATAATTTCCTAGATATTGTCTTGATTCAGGTTGTGTCATGTTTATGAACGTAGAATGTTTACCTGCAGGGAATTAAGAATCCAGTACAGTATGGAGCAAGTTTTGCTGTATGTCTGCATTGAACAAATAAGAGGTGCATCAGTAGACATATAGCGTTTTGTTAGATCAAGTTTTATCACTTGGCCAAACCCGCAGTCTCAAGCAAGGATTTGAACCTATGACCTTATCCACTTGTTGGATCTAGTTCTTATCACTAAACTAACAGGCTTTAGTTGAAGTAAGGGTGTAACTTTATTTTCCACAAATTCCTAGGAATTGAATCAAGCTTAAGGGTCTCAGGGATATAAGTTGTTAGTTGCTTCAAATCGTAAAGGAGATTTAGAGAAAGCAAATATAAAACAAAAGATCCTCAATCCCAGCCTAAGTTTAAGCAACATATCTTGATACAAAATGGTATGAGTTTATTGCAAGGTTTGACTATAGGATAAATGAAATAGAATGATTCAAATAAAATAGGTGAACAGGTCTAGGGACAGCACCTTTCTTTTGCTTCAGATTGAGTACACAAATTTCAAAACCCACAACTGCGTGCCTGTGACTGAATTAAAATAACAAACCAAATATGAAAACTTAACTACCTTAATAATCTGAACAATGAGAAAAGCCACCCAGACATAGACAAGGACTAGTAATTCTTTCCAGTAGATGTTCTTTAGTAAAGGGACCTGCACACCAGAATTTAAAACAACTTATAAGGCTCATCAATAAAACTTCAATCAATTCGTACGAGGAATGTCTTGATTGGCCATTCACCTTCTCATCTTGTGGATCAGCCGAACCAGCTGTTAGTGACTTATAGTCTTCTTCAGAGTCATCTGCATTAAGGGGTAAGTGCAATAGTGTTTCAACAGTAATATCAGAGAGATTTCTATAAGATTTTTCAAATGTTAATTATGAACTAATTTTTGTGTGTAAAATGAATATCAACTTGTCATAACTGTTCAATCATTTGCTCTCCCATATGGAGTTGTACTGAATCATTTTCCTTATATTTCCTTAAGTTGAAGAATCACAAAACTTTGTTGTGAAGAAACTCAAAAGAAGTTCTGCATATGATGACAAAATAGTAGTGAAAACAAATGGGGTAAGACTCTGCTCTCTGTAATTATGCATTGACTCTATCCATTTAAATCATGCCAAGGTAAAACTAAAAAAAAAGAAATTAAATTTCACCCCTATTACAAATTTGAAACGTTGATTTCATGGCTAACAGGTCCTAAAAGGGAAAAATGAATATGTTCATAAATTCTTATTTGATAAATCTTATTATTCCTCTATATTTTCAGCATTATGATCGTTTTGCTTCTTGTAGTTTTCAGATTTTCCAGTAATCTTTTACGTAATTGCTGAAAGTTTCTCTACATTTTATAGGAAGGTTTACAGGACTTACAACCAGGAGAAGAATCTGATTCCAACATCTTAGCTGCTTCCTGAAATTTCAGTAGCATAATCCTCTTGATATCAAGTAGAAAACAACCGATTCAGCATCAGAAAGTTTGAAAATGCATAAAGGGAAGTTTACCTTTTTCATAATTGTTTCCTTTTTCCATGTATCTATGCCTTTGAACAAAGCTTTTGTGGATGTAGCTACAACGGATTAGTTTAATTAAAAATCAGACAAATTATGGTAAGATATTCAAAATAGAACAGTAAATATCATGTGGACCATATAGCATAAGCTGATTAATAAATCTTAAAAAGAACTAGTACGTAACATGTTTGCTACAAAAGACAGATTAACATTTAATAACATTTATTTCTCTAGAAAGTTTCATTTGAAAGATCCATCAAAATATGATTGTTAATTGAAGGAATCTGTGTAAAAACAGACACACCAGAGTACTTTCACAGGAGAACGCACCCACACAGATTTTTGAGACTGCCCAGGAAAATTTAATTAAATTATAAGGTTGAGGTTATGCCAAGTAATGTTACCAATGAACAAGATGATAAGCAAAACCGTCACCATCCAATCAGCAAACATGACATTAAATGCAACACCAATGCTTATTCCTAGCATTAGCATAGGCTGGAAAAGCAAAGCCAGATCATAATCTATAACTGGCAAGTCTAGTGTTGGGTGTCTAAACCTCAGGTTGTAATATACAGTTGATGCCGCTGCACCCATAATCATACCTGCAATCACGAAAAAACAGTTAAACACCGAAAGAAAATATATAGACCACATACTTTCTCTTCTATCTTTTTATAACCTTATTTCCTTTTTTATTTTTTTATCACATCACTTACGTTATTTTCTTTCTATTGCTTTTATTTTATTTTTCTCTCTTCTTTCTATCCCACTTTGGGGTGTTTGTTTATAACTACTCATGGAAAACGAGTTTTCATATAATAAGGAAGTGCATGGTTTGGATCAAAGTTTCCCAACTTGAGTTTGCAAGTTAAAGTTGCAAGACAATCCAAGTCTTGTTTTTACAAAACTGGATTTGGCGGCAAAATTTTAATGAGCATCAAGCATGTGATGAAAATGAATTTATTCTCCAAATTTAGTTTGGAGCCAAACATTGACAAACTGTTTGGTTTTTAATGGTTTGATATTGTGATTCTAACTTGAACTTAAAAATGATGAAGATAAATATGCATGCACCCAACCTATCTTTGGTTTTGAAGATCAATAAGAGGAGGTTTAAGACCCTTTCAAGTATGGCCATGTTTTACTGGTGGAAGAATAAACATAATAGAGCAAAATACTAACACTTAGAAATGGCAGTGGAAGACTTAGCGTCAAAGCCAATGATCAGAGTGAGCATAGGGATAAAAATTCCTCCACCTCCAACCCCGCCTACGCTACCCATTGCAGCTCCAAAAAATCCAACGATTGACCCTGCCACAATTCTCCAACCAAATTTCATTTCCTGCATTTCAGACCAACAAGCCAATACCATGAAACAAATTAAGTAACTAAAAAATAACCAAAGTTCCATAAATTGACTGGTGTGAAAATGTGTTTGATAAACTCACAGGCCAAACACGGTCATTGGAAGGCTCTCCTCCATCATTCCAAAAGAAATCAATTATACTAATCAAAACTCCTTGTCTTTCTTTGGCAGCAAAACTCTCAGTATTTTGGTCTTTCAAAACTCTTTCTGCTACACTCACATTGTAGGCCATGATAAGGCTCAACGAGACCAGCCATAACGCGGTTGCTGCTGCTCTGGAAGTCTTTTTTTTCACTTCAATGGCCATTTGTGGATGATGTGCTGTAGAAGAAGGAATAAGACCAACGCTATACTGCTATCTCTCCCAACGTGTTTTTTTTTTTTTTTTTTCTCTGGTTAATTTTTATGCTGGTTCTACAAGTATGGTTGATGGAGGAAACATAAAACTAAGGAGAGCATCGTTCGGTACCTTCATTCTTTCTTATATAACAAACTCACACTTTCTCTCTCCCTGCCACTATCTACTTCCTACATCAAATCCTTTCCTAGCTCGTTTTTGTTATTGCATCGATTCTAAAAGATTCTCTTACACTAATTTACGCTTTTGTATCTACTCGTATTAATGAGACACTTTCCTTTTTTTACCTGTTATTTATTTTTATTTTAAAAATCATATCTATGGTAATTTTTTTTTACAGAACCGTAATTCTGGTTAGTGAAATACATTTTTTTTTTTACATTGACAGTACATGTAAATTAAATTCAAATTTCTTATATGGCTATATTAATTGTTTTTAAAACTATGTTTAAACCCTTTACTAATTCAAAACTATACACTTTTGGTTCATTTGAACTTTGAAATTTGATGGTGAAGAGGGTGAAGTGACATTGAAATTTGAAAACATAACCGTGTCTTGTTATGGTTTACACATACATTAGTCACAAACTAGTTAGCTTTTCTTGACACAACTGAAAATTTATATATACATTTTGATTTTGCTACCGGAATTCATATCATAAACATCGTTGCACGTAAAAAATTTGAAAACAAAAAAAGTCAATTCGTGTTACTTGGGAATTAACGTGAATCTTCTCTGGTCAAAGAAAAAACCAAACATGCTGATAGACAATGAAGCAAATTGAAGAAAAATCGTAACGATTTCGAAATTGGAGAATAGCCACGAGATGGCAATGATAAGATGTTCAAAATGAGACTGGGTGGTGGGGAGAGTAAGACAACTTACAAACACAGTACTTTGAGGGTGTAGAGCGAGGGAAAAAGGCAAGACTTTGTAGGAAGCTTCACGAAAGAAACTTAACGTTCAAGCATTGAGCCCTAGATATAACAGTGCGTCCTTGCTGAACACAGCAAAACTATGAAGCTTCATGGTAATTTCACTTGCTTTCAGCTTCCGTTTATCGTTTACTGATACGCATTGGATAGCACGAACAGAAACAAAAAATAAAATACAATAGGCTGGGTAGGGGGAGGATCGTTAAATGGCCTTTTCTTTATCCTATGGCACTCACCGCAAAAACATCTCCCAAAAAACTAAATTATTTTGTTAGATGGTTACAAAACAAAGGAAGTGAAACACCTACACTACCAAGTGAAGTTAGTATGTTGCATTAAAAATGTTCATCCTCGTCTACCTGAAATTGGCATGCATTCCAATCACCCCATACAACAACTCAGGCCGTAATGAAGTAAAATAGTTAGTTGTTGATAAAAATATGTTTAAATATTATATTTGTGCAAATAATTTAATGAGTTTTACTGGACCATAATTTTCAAGGCTACCAAACTGAACACTGGTACTGTTACAAGAAAACGAAGACAGGTCAAACACAAATATCAGAACTCCTTTCCACCCCTCCGTTAAATTCCTTTGGGAAGTCATCAATCTAGTAGAAAATATAAAATTTTCAATCGCTGCCACTCTGGAGCCAAAAAATTTGCCCCAACACGGAGAAAGCGTGAGGCAAAATCTGGATAATTTAAATTCTTAACTTCGCCAATTATTTCATTAATTTGCTTCCACACATTTCAAGTTAATGGAAAGGAACAAAATAATTGACATCTAATAAATAATTTTAAAATAATAATTTTTTATTAATAAAAAAATATAATACTAAATAGATAAATAATAGTATAAATTTTTTAAAATATAATTGTAGGATGAATGTTTGATAAATGATGATTCCTTGTGTGAATTTCTTTTTAAATAATATTAAAAAAATATTATTTAAAAAAATAGATTCACTCTCATTATTTATTCAAATAAATCTGTTGTCATATATGGTAATAATTTAATAATTATATATTAATATATTTTAAATATTTATATAATTATATTTATATATGTATATATATATATATATATATTTAAATATTGATATAATTAAAAATTATTATATATATTTATATATTTTTATGTTTGTATATAATATATATATATATATATATATATATATAAAAGTTGTTAGAAAAAAAGTAATTCGAAATTCGATTTTTCGAGAACTAAAATTTGATATTTTGATAATCGAATTTTGACTGTTTTAATGGTTCTAATATAATACATTTTCATTCGAAATTCAATTTCTCCATTTCTTACCTTATACAGTAAATAAATCTATTCGAATAAATAAAATGGAAGGGAGATTTATTTCTTTAAATTATAATTTTTTTAATATTATTTCAGAAAAAAAATCTCCTTATGTATCATTTCTCTAAAGTGAATAAACGGCTAAGTTTATACTCTTTTAAAATGTTTAAATATTCCATTTCATTTCTATATATTTGAAAGGTTCAATAAAATCTCAAACAGCTCCAATGTAATTTCTTTCTTCCGTTGGTACCTTCCCTTAAATTGAGTCAATCACCGTTTAAATTAAATCTTGTATACGTGAGAAAAGGTGAGACACGTTCCATTAACAGAAACACTGGCAGTTGGTCTTCTAACCAACTTAGGGTTCTGGGGGTTCCGTTTTACCTCCACAATGTCTCATTTTAAATTTTCATGACGTACTTTGCCGTCGCAATTCATCCATGAGCAATTGATTCACGATTCTTGTCTGGTGGTATTGCTCGAAGGACGGATTTCCCACGGGCAGGACCTCCTTTGCCCCGACTCCGACGAGAAGCAGGACCTCCTTTGCCCATCCATCCTCCTCCCAAAGCCTCGGCAACGACTACGGCCTTGTCTTCTTATCTGCCTCTGTTTCCGGCTCTAGCATCAGCTCCGGTGGCTCCTACAAAGATCACCCCACCTGTCCTAAATTTCAATTGCTTTTATTTATTATGCAATGACCAGGCCAATAGTTGTGACGCCAAATTTGCTGAAATGATTACTTTTTCCGTTGAAATGAGAACGTCATCGATTCAATAAAAAATTAATGCCAAATGCCCCAACTTATAACTTCGATAAGGACCACATTGCCGTTATTTTGAAAACTTGGAGACTTATATGGAGCTTTCGACAATATGTAGACCAAAATGAATATTTTAATTAAATTTAGGGACAATGAAATCATTTAACCTAAATGACAGTTATTAACTCGGCCAATAATTTAGCTAACTCAATTTTTCATGTTAAAGTAAAATAAACAGGTTGTAATAGAAATAATCAATAACTGGAAAGCTAACCCTCACCATTCAACGTTTAACGGAAACAAGGGCTACGTCTACTGATATTTTAATGTATGCAACTCCCACTACCTCAAACTAGTTTCATGCACATAAGACAGAACATTGAAAACTTTAAATCCACACATTTGTTCCCACAGAAACTGGAAAAGAAAATGTCATTCAATTTCTTGAGAAAATAAAACCATCAATCTCAAATATTAGCATTCCACGTCCATACTGAAAAACTGATAATAGCAAAGTTGAGGCAGTAATCCTTTCGACAACGATCACAAAAATCAACCAATATGGATAGCTGCAGCTATGGGTACTGTCGTTGTGTTTTGATCACACTCCATCCCGAACCCATTTAATGGCTACTAAGAATCAAACACGGTTTTGTACCGACTGACAAGAATTAACCATAACCAAATAGTATACTGAAATGTACAGCATGAATCTCACCAGTAAAGTTGAACAGTGTTATGCTCATTCTCAGTAATCATACTCTTTAGAATGAGACCTCTCGGAGCGACGATATTCATGGTCCACATCACGGTTTCTCTCCCTATCTCGTGATTCAGATTTTGCCCGTTCAGTGTGGTAGTCATCTTCCATCCTATCATGATCAGTATGATGATTGTAATAGTCACCATGGTCATCTCCCTCATCATCCTGTCCCCTTCGATGATGCTCATAGTGATCAGGATCGTGTTCAGGATCTGCATGCCTATGTCCATACCCAGGTCGGTTGTACCAACGACGATCATCCTCAGGTTCATAGTCACGCTCTCTTTCACCATGATGTTCTTTCTCATATTTAGATATATGATCATAGTCAGTCTCTCTATCACGAGTGCGTCCCAGATCAGTCTCTCCAAATTCATAATCCTTATCTCTTCCATGAAGTCGATTGTGATCTCGGTTCCGATCACGATCCCTCTCCCGATCACGGTCTCGACCTCGTGCTCTATCTCGATCATGCCCCCGATCTCTCTCTCTTTCCCTATTCCTTTCCCGGTCTCTGTGGTGCCTATCCTCTCTATGATCACGATCCCTTGCCCTATCACTAGAGCGTTCACGTGGCTCACGTTTTCTATTTCTGTCCTTACCTCTTTCCCGTGACTTTTCTCTGTCCCTATAGTCTCAGATAAACAGTAGTCAAAGTTAATGATCTTATTAGATGAAAGAATCTTATTTCAAAAATCCTCAATGTTGCAAAAGTAAAGGCACAGAAATCATAGCCCTTCTGTAGTCAACAAATAATGGTAGTACCAGTAATTTGTTCAGAGCACCAAAAATAACAAGTTGAAGTGGAAATTAGAACCTTACCGCTCACCATGACGATCCTCCCGTGTTCTCGGTTCTTCAGAACGAGAAGGACCAGACTGTTGTTGCTCCCTGAATAAATTATGTCAGAATTTCCTTCAATAATAAAAGGAAGAGCATCGAGCACATTTTCTACAGATGACATTAGCAAGACAGATTAAGTGCGACAAATTGTAATATTTGATGCTTCAAAAGTTACAACAGCGCACTGCAAATTGAACAAATCAATTAAAAAGACAACAATAAATGTTTAATGCAGAAAAATGATCATTATTTCTGATTATAAGCATCATTATTTCACCAAAGATTGACGTGACATTTTGCCAATAGTCCAATAGATATGTATAACTATTTCTCCGATAGATAAGCATGACATTTTGCCAAAAGTCCAATTTACGTATACATGGATGTAGAAAAGGGTTTAACGAATTCCGTACGACAGAATCATCATATAATCCTCAGGCCTACAAAGACAATTTTATTGTCGCAAATAACTCAATCAAACACAACACTAAAAGATTTTTATTTAACAAGATATGAAGCATATTGTACATACAAGAGAATAGTGTCAAAACAGCCAGAACTTGTTTTTTAATATTTTTAAAAAAGATTTCAATTTTTAATTTTTGAAAACTAAAAAACTTGTCTAGTATCTATTTTGTTAAAACAATTTTAAAAACATATTTCGTTTTTTAGTTTTTAAAACCTATAAACACAAAATTGATAAAAAGTATTTTCTGTTTTTAATTTTCTATTTTCATTAATGGTGTTTATGTCTTCACCAATAATTGTACTATATTGTTGTGCTATATTGCCCACCATCCATGCAGTTATTAAAATTGTTTCTTAACCTTCGATATAATATTTTATTGCCGTTGATGTCATCCTCTTTGTCTAAAATAGTTTTCAAAGTAGTATTATATTAAAAAAAAAACATTTTTTCGTAACATGTTTTCATAAACAGTTTTCTAAAATTGATCTCTAAAACTGTTACTAAAAAAAAAATCAATCATACAAACATATAGAAACAGTTTTCCAATTTTTTTTTCGGTTGTTTTTCCATTACACACTATTTAGAAACACCAATTTGATTTAAAATACAAAGAACTACAGAAAAATTGCAATTATTCCATTTACCTCCCAGAATGTCGCTGATTAACTTCTTCCCCCCCTACTCTTGTAGTACCAAGCCCACCACCAAGACGGCGAGGTCGCCAATTTGGAACTGTCCTCCCACGTTCAACATCCACAAGCACCCTTCTACCCTCAATTTTCCTACCATCAGCTTGTTTATAAGCAGCTTCATAATTAACATAAAAAATGTGAGTCAAAAGTTATATGTAAATAATAACTAGACAAAACACACCAAACCAATATCAACCTTTCATGTCTCTTGTGTGCAGATACTCAATGAATGCATAACCTTTGGGCTTATTTGTCTCAGTGTCAGTGATCAATCGAACCTAAATCATAAGAAAATGGAAAGGGAAAGAATAGTCAGGAGAGAACATTCTGATCTACAGCACAAAAAATATAAAAGATGCTCTCTCACCTCAGAAACATTAAAATACAACCAAAATAAAATACTAATACTATAAACCTAAACGGCACGGCAGACAGGCACTATGCCTAATTAGCCGTGCTCACCTTTAAATAAAAAAGCTCCAACCACGAGAGGCATCACCACCGCCAATAGTTGCAGAAATATGGATGTATTTGGGCCCAATTAACCAGTTGTTGACTAGTGTCCCCTTACCAGGGATATTTGTTTTTAAATTGATAAAATGAAAACAACTATGGGTAACATAAAAAAATACCATGACTTCTTCTCAACAGCTGATTGGTTTTGATAGCCTTTGAATCCAAAAATAAAGTTTTAGCAACATCAAAGTAGGTTAACTAAGAATTTAAACAAAGGAAGAGATTGCAATACTCCCAAACATATTTTACCCAGCACAGGAAAAGAACAGAAGTTGTCAGTCTCCTTTTCTTGCTCGTAAACAAGGCCAAAGGCACAATTTCGCATCATTTCTCTGCCCAACTAATACCATGCAGGAGGAATCATTTGAATGGTAATCGGGGATGATAAAAAAGTTTGAGAACCATTTACCATTTGCAGAACAAGATTACCAACCAGTACCAGGGATGTGTATTGAGATGCTAAACTTGCTGTTAAAACAATTCCTACCCCATGCCCCAAGATCTTCTATCCACATATATCGGCGGGATGGAACTATGTGGAAAATAACTAAAGAAACCAATATATAGAGAGCCATAAAATGTAATTCTTTATCATTTCAAAACCAGTTAAAAATTACAAATTCTATCAAGATGCTAAATTCAAACCCGTGAAACTCGGGACAGAATGGAATGAAAATTATGCATAACTAATTAACTTCACAAAAAAATGATTAATCATGAGAATCGTCTCAATTACAAGAAGCAGGTTAATCAGTAGCTTCAAAAAAGTGTTGAAAAAGTATTTTACTGTTGTAAAATATAAGCTAGTTCTTCATTTTAAAATATTGAATTTGAATATACATTTTGAAGCTTAATAGCTTGTAAAGAAGTCAAAAAATAAGTAAAATAACCAAACATGAATGATACTCTTACCGAATCCCTTCAGGGATATTTAAAATACCTACCCGTTTGATTGCACCATATGATTCAAACTCCCTTTTGATTCTGCTCTCAGTGGTCTCATAACTCTGTTAAAAGATAGCACCAATTTGATACTATGCTACTCAAGTGCCAAGCAAATACTACATGGACAATATAACTTACAAGTCTGGCTACAAACAAGGTCTTGTATGGGTCTCCTGATATATTTGGATCATTATGTGGATCATCTACATCAAAGCAGATTCAAAAACAAAAAATGCATTCAGCGAATGTAAATCCACGAAAAGTAATGAAGTTATAACAATGAGTCATTACATTTCTTAAGCTCCTCAGCAGCCATTGCTGCTCCCTTCTCTAGTTTTAATTTGTGTATTCTTGCTCGTCTTTGTGCCTGAGTTCACCAAATTGGATCAACAACAAATGAATATACTCTTCACTATGTGAGGTAGGTGATCTGACAATTGAACTATTTTTCAACTTTTATTTGCTATACACTAGCTCTATGAATAAAAAAGATTCAGTAAGATTTCGGTCCACCAAAACATTACCATAACCACTTGTCTAAATAAATCAAAAAACAAACTGAAAACTAGCAAACAATGAAGAGGCAACAGTAATTATATTTTTCAATTAATATGTTGCATCAATTAACATGCCTAATTGTTATTCATGACACTAAAAACTGAAATAAATGATATCTTAGAGCAAATTAGAACCATACAAAAGAGCAGCTATGCAAGGATGATTAGGTGTGTATTTGGATGAGCTACAGCAAACTTGATTTTGGATTATCACAAATTATCAGAATACGTTTGCTTAAACATGAGTATGAAGTTAAGTAATTTATGTTTGGAATATTTATCTTCAAGTTTGTAGTGAAACTAAACAAATTTGCAATTTTACTCAATACTTGCTTAAGCTAAATTAATATTTGAGTCAAATGTGTTAGGGGCATGACGCAATCATAAACTCAAACATCCTGGAATATGACTAAACTAAACGCAGGTTCAATGTTGCAAAAATTGTTTAGAGCCATGCCAACATACAGCCAAACAAATAACAAATTGCTTTAAAAGTCTTGTGCCATACGCAAAACCTGATTACAGAATTCTGGAACCATAGCTAGTCAATAGATTAAAAATTTAATAACATCAAGGTTGGTTCACCACACAAATACACCGTTACACAGGTTGTACAGATATTAGTCATAGAAATTTTTATCTTCATGAACTCTCTGTAAATCAAATCAACAAACGTTGGAACATAACAATCATTCAAAGAAACAAACTTTCGGTTCTGCACATCACAAAGAAGACGCAATCAATCATGCAAAACCTCAAACTGGAGAGAGTCCGCTTCAAATATATCAATAACAAAACAAAATACAAACTATTTGCACAAAATAAACCTCAACAATCCACAGACATGGAAGATGCAGCAACAACAACACAAAATTACGAAACTACACACAACCCAGTCATATCAATAACCATATCACGTAATTAGTTCCAAATAGCCGAACATTACAGGAGTCTCAGTTTTTGGTACAGGCGGAGCGTATTCGGGATCACCAGGCTCAGCAAACTTGCTCACAAATTGCGCCATCCCTAAAAACAACACGTGCGCACACTTATATAATCTCTTAATCAATAATCAGCAACAGTATGAACACAAAACCAACGCACCATTGTTTACCTGTAAGCGGTGGACATTTTCTTTTCTCCGGGGGCGGTTTATATTCCAAAGGAGGCCTAGGCTCAAAGAGCTTCAATAGATTCGCCGTGAGACCAGTTGGGTGATTCTGTCCAATCTGCATCACATCATATACAAAAGATCATTTCCACTATCCAGGTTTTCGCGCGATAAACCCTAGCTACGGTAAATAAACAAAATGACGTTTAAGTAAAGCAAAAAAGGGGAAGTGGATAATCGAAAGATTGGGGAAATGGATGGAAGAGGAACCAGCTTGAGCTGAAGGACATTGGCGCGGTTCTGGGCCTTGGTACGGGCCTGAACGGCGGCGTTTTGGTTGCGCATCAGAGGATCGTTGTTGAGGTCTCCCATGGCAAAGATGAAATGAGATTTTGAGTCGTAAATTATTATGAAAGGGTCGCGCAATCAGATCCGACTTTTGTCCCAACCGTGGTGCTAGCTACCAGGGTTCCCTCGTGACTTGCCAGTATTTATAGTGGAAAAAAAAATTTCCGAAATATGCGACTTTCACCCTTTCAATTCCGCCTTTGTGCAAGCAACATTTTGGACGAGGAATAAATAAATACCCAACTTTCAATCCTATATTGATTAGATTCCATGATTCATAAAAGTTGAATATTTATTAATAAATAAATGTAAAATTAAATCAGTAGAAATACTTTCTTCAATTTTCTTTTTGTAAAATTTGACATTATTATTTTTATTTTAAAAAATTATGAATTTTGACTAATTTTTTTGTAAAATATTTATCTTTGTCTTTCGTCTTCCAAAATACTAATTGTAATTATTAATATTTACATAAATAATATATATTTTATTTTTAAAAACATATTATTACTACTATATCACAATATTAAAATTATGAAATTTTGGATATGATTTTGTAAAATGTTAATACTTGTTATTCATCTTTGCAAAATTTTAATTCACTCATTATTCGGTGCTTAATATTCATTTCTAAAACATTATTATTAATACTATATCATAACATAATACTAATAGACATGAAATGAAAAATAAGAAATTTTATAAAAAGTAAAATCAAAATTTTTCTTTTTAAAAGAATTAAATACATATTTAAGTTTTTATTAATTTATACTTGGTTAATAGTTATATATTTATGTAATTTTAAAGATTAATTTAAAGCATACTTTAATATAAGAAACTACATAAAAAATTGCAATATCTTGGTTACACAATTCTAATATCTTTTAAGACTATTTAAGTAATTTTTATTAATTTAACGAATATTATCTTCTTCTTTTATTAATTTAAAGACCATATAGACGAGAGAGTAAGTGTGTGGTGTGGATCACCTAACACAAGTTTAGCTAACGATTTTCAGTTTATTCTTAGAATGTAGTTTGTTAAATATTTGAAAAAAAAACTTTACATTCATAATTTTATGATCATTTATTAATTTATATATATGATATAAAAGTTATTGGAGAGCTGTATAACACATCTTTTACTTTATGTTCAGTGTGACTCTTGAGGAAAAATTCCTTGTTTTTTTTTTCACTGACCTCTTACATTTTTGGTGCATTTGCTTCTGTTTTATATAATTATAATTATTTTTTTAATTATTAATTAAACATATGGCATTTAATTAGTTTAAAAGTGTATTATTTATGGATATTTACTGTAATTGTAGTTTTGACTATATAATCTGTCATGTGTGTGCATGGATAGTTTAGTTGTCTTCTATTATATCAAAGTAAATTGGAGTTTAAAATAGGTTGAAATAAACATGATTCATGGTATATATCTTACATATTAATAGTTAATTTCATAAGTAACAACGTTTGCAGCAGAAAATTATCAAGAACATAAGTATTATAGACTAGTTCTAAATCATTTTAAAGAACCAATTAGTTACAACCACCAATCATACAGTGGGTTAACACAAGTATCTTGCTAGTTAAACCTAAATGGACTTTACACTTTTACCAATCTCTAAGAAATTGCATATAACGCCAAATCACATGATAAATCAACAATTGAAAGAATGTTACATTAATAGGGACTTGTAACGTGCATCTCAAACATACTAATAAGGTCACAAAACCACAAATCATTCACTCCCCATTTCCTATAATATGAGATCCCACTTCACATATATACCGAAGAAATAGATAAAAGCAATGAATCACCCCATTAGTATAAAATTGTTGATAGTTATTTTTTTATTTTTTATTTTTTACCTTCCTCCCTCGTGCTTGAGAAACTTTTTTGGTATTGTGACTTGAGATTAGCAAAAAAAACATCCACATGCTCGAGATTAGCAAAAAGGTTAAGTATGCGACTCAATTATGTCACAAGCTTAGGGTAATGAAAGCTAGCTGAGAATTGTCTCGTTTTGGTTCAGCATTCTAAACTTGGGTTTGGGGTTTCTAATGATAACCCATCTCCTTACTGGTAAGCTCACTACTATCATTAAATTCTTGGCTCTCCATTATTGCCTTTCTGAACTTCATCATATCAGCATTGTATTGCATTGTATCATATTCTGAGCTTCCAGATGACGGAGTGTAAGCACCGCCAATCCTATTCCCATTCCCATTCCCATTCCCATTGCCATTGCCATTGCCATTCCCTCCAAGCTTCATTCCATCTTTCAAGTCATCCAATGAGACATCTCCTTCCAGTGCTCTTACAATCTGCCCATAATTAACATATATTTAGTCACATATGACAATAATTAACATACATAATCTCTATGTATATATATATATATATATATATATATATATATATTTACCTGACTCATTTTTGAACGCTTCTTGGCAGAATGACGAATGCTTGCAGCTGCGCAAGCTGCCATTCTTGTCATTTCCTGCACATTGTAATTGCCTTCCAAAAATGGATCCACTAACTCTCCAAAGTTTCCATCCTCCAATCCTTTATTCAGGAGTGGTCGAGCCTGTTCGGTACATAGTTTCTTATTAATTTTTGGATTGAAACAATGGTTGTAGGGCAATATGAACCAACTCAAAAACCAAAATATATACTTTTTACTTCACTCTTCAGATATATACTTGAAATCTCCCCCCTTAATAGATAGAGAATACAAGATAGAAATGTAATATATAGCACTAACCCAATCCACCAAACTGTCCTCCATGGCATTTGACAAATCCACAGGTCGTTTCCCAGTTATGAGTTCCAATAGCATCACTCCAAATGAGAACACATCAGACTTCTCTGTCAGTTTTCCACTTGATGCGTATTCTGGGGCCAAGTACCTATTTTAATATGCAAAATTAGACTAATTAATAAGTATGATTATTTATGCCACTTTTTTCTTTTTCACTAACATAAGTTTTTTTTTTTCTTTTTGTATGTCGAGTGATTTGACCCTTTATAAAGGGTTTGAAGGGAAAGTAGAAATCACATGAAATGAATATTTTTGTAATTATTTAGCTTTCAGGATGGATAATCACACACAATATATATTTTATTTAGTTGGAAATTTTACAAATACTTAATTGTGTTTGTATCTAAGAATTAAGCGTTAATGTGACAAAAATAAGGAAATCACATTATATTTATAAAAGCATTAATTCTCAATTTTATTTTTTTCATTTTCTTTATAGCTTCTACAAGTATTAGAGCATGAAGTGGAGAATTACCCGAATGTTCCCATGACACGAGTTGAGACATGTGTATTAGTATCATTAGTCAATTTAGCCAGTCCAAAGTCAGACACCTGATTAAGATACACATTGCCATAATCAATGAGCTTCGAAAATAAAATATTGATAATTAAATTACATTAATATCCTCTAATATTCTCTTAAATTACACTTATATTCTTGTTTCTTTTATCTTCCTTAAAAGAAATGTAAGTGTAATATTTCTTTAGAGGTTCATATGTAGTAATATAAAAGATATATGTATATATATATATATATATATATATATATATATATATATATATATATATATATATCAAAGTTAAAATATGAGTGTAATTCAAAAAAAGTTACGTAGTGTCATTATAATTTACTTGTATTGAAACATGTGCGATATATAGCTAAAGTAAATATATAGATAGAAAAGATGGAGATATGTGAAACCTTTGCTTCAAAACTATCATCAAGAAGGACGTTAGAAGCTTTAATGTCACGATGGATAATGCGAGGACTACCTGAGTTTATTTGTAAATGTAGCAAATATCAGAAAGATATATAATGAAGGAAAAAAAATTACAAAAAACTATGGTTAGTAGAAGAAATTGAAATCTGATGCTTACAATCTTCATGAAGGTAGGCAAGCCCCTTGGCAGATCCAATTGCAATTCGCATTCTACTAGCCCAATCCATCGTAGGCATGCCTTTTCCTGTGACCATCAAATCATTAGATGTTACAAAGAACTGTTGAAAAACTAAGGTAAGAGAGTTGATATGAATCAGTATATTTCTTACCATGAAGGTGATGTTCCATAGTTGAGTTGGGAACAAATTCATAAACCAACATTCTTTGGCCTCCAGAAATGCAGTATCCGACAAGCGATACAAGATGACGATGATGAACACGACTAATGATGTCAATCTCAGCTTGGAACTCGCGCTCTCCTTGTCCACTACCTGCTTTTAGACTCTTAACAGCAACTTCCTTTCCATTAGGCAAAACTCCCTTATGGACATAACCAAAGCCACCTTGTCCTATAATTTGGTCACTGGCAAATCCTTTGGTGGCAGCTGCTAGCTCCTCATAAGTGAAGGTACCACCCTTGAGTGAGAGAGAAAGGCCTGGCGATGTGGAACCTATTCCCACTGAGTAATTTGAGCTCATATCACCACTGTTCATTTGAGGATGTGATGCACCCCAGCCACCACTACTAGGAGGACCCATTCCCATTCCCATCCCCATCCCCATCCCCATCCCCATCCCCATCCCCATGCCTTGTTGTTGAACCCTCACAACATGTTCACCCCCGGGAGGACCCGAACCTTGCCAATTAGGGGGAGGGTGCTGCCCACTGTTGTAATAATTGCTCGCTGTGCAAATTGTTTAAACCTCATTAGTTATTACTCACCAAATTAAATCCATAATTATTTCAGACAATATTGTACTGTGAGTACATAAATACAAGTTTAAGGATTAACTATCAAATTTCATATATCATCTGAGAGTACATAATGCCAAATATATTGAAAACCGTAATAGTTTTTACCCCTTTATCATAGAAAAAGTAGCAAATTATTTAGTTAACCTTAACTCCACTAATCATTACATTCTCAATAGGTGTTTTCCTTTCAACTATATATAAGTGAAGTGAAGAGTGATAATAAGTGCATACCACACTTACTACATATACTTCACTCCATCAATACCTATATGTCTTTAATCCTAGATGTTAAAATAGAGATTGATGTCTGTTGAAGAAAGAGATAAGAAAAAATGGTGAAGAATAGTCACCGTTTCCTTGAGAAGGAGATGCATAATAGTATTTCTTTTGCTTTCGGTTCTTCCTCCTGCAACACCAAATGAAACACACGATGACCAACACGAGCAGGACAAACCCTACTCCGATCCCAGCTCCCAGAGCTGCTTTATTGGCACTGTCATTGTCCTTTGAATCAGTCAGCTTTTCATGCGACAAAGATTTGTGCGACTCTTTTGATGGTGAAGAGCGCTCAGTGGCCGACGAACCCTTGTGTGATTGTTTGGAGTTATCAGGTGTGGCATTGTCGGGAGTGGCGTCATCGGGACTGGAGTTATCGGGAGTGGCGTCATCGGGAGTGGCGTCATCGGGTGTGTTGTTATGTGGAGCAGATTTATCGGGGGGAGCCATTATTTGTCTGGGTTCCGGCGAAATGGTTTACACGTTGAAGACAACGTAATGCCGGAACACCAGATTTCCCCCTACCTCTTTTTTCTCACAACGAGCCCTGTCAATGAACAATGAACTTTCAAAGTTAAATTAAACGAAAAAGAAATGAGAAAATAGTTTGGGAAGAAAAACGATGACGGAATTGTTAATACCTGGAAGGAGGGCCAAGAAGAATTGTCAAAAGAAGGAAATGGAAGAAACTATTGCATGGGAGAAGAAGTGGTAATACAAAAGGAACTAATTATCTTTCGTTCTTAGGATCCTCAACCACCTCCTACAAAGGAGGGTATTTGCCATCTCTTTTACTTTTAACAAGACATTTATATTTATAGATTTACCATTTTCTGACTGGTCTTTATTTCATCGTCAACACCCGTAATTTGCTTCTATCATCCATCTCACACAACAAATATTAACCACAAATACCTTTCTACTCCTCCCACCAAATATTCAATTACAGATATTGCTTTATAACATTTTCTTATCTCCTTCTTTTGCATATCATGTTTCGGAAAATAAACATCAATGGAAATTTGTTTTACCTATTATTATATATAGTCATTAACATTAATTATTAAAATTTACAAAAAAATTATGAGTGGCTAATCGAAAATAAAAAAACTCCTTTATACACAGTACCAAATACTACTATTCATTGCGACCTCTTATGCTACTTCTAGACCCCAAATCTTATCCGACCTCAAAATAAGAACAGAATACCTTCTATTCGAAGATGGACGAAGCCTAAAAAGCCACTAGGAGAAACTATTAGGCCCCATGTTAGAGTAGGAAGGATTTTTTGTATAAAAATAAGGATTTTCGCCTTCAGGAGTCGAGACCGCCGTCTCGCTTTTCGGGACCGCCGTCTCGACCTAACAGGCGCGAATCCCTATAAATAGTGAGCGTTTCCCCCTCATTTTACACAGTTCTTCCACTTTCCCTTCTACACTTTCTTCAAATTCTCCTCCTAGAGTCCCTCTGAAGCATTTTCGGAGTTTCTGAGTGTCTTAGAGAGCTTTTTATAACGTTTTCGAGAGATTTTCGGCGTTGTAAGAGCGAAGGGCTGCCAAAACGCACCCTATTTCCAAGAGAATTAATCAAAAAGCTTGCTTCGGAGGTTTCTTCACTTCCTCCCTTTCTTTTACTGTCTTTATTTTCATAATTAAAATTGTGTAATAGACATTAGAGTCATGTAGTCATTATCTTAATTCAGCGAATAAAAGGGTAAAAGCGTCTTTTCAAAATTTTATCTATAAAATAACTGGCCTATCATAAGAAACCCGAAAGGGGCGTCGTAAGGGAACTAACACTTCCTTTACACGTAATTAACTCCTTTACCCAACTTTGGTTTTAACGACTAAAGTTGGTTTTCAAAAACCAACGTCTTTTCTTTCCTTTTTCGATGTTTCCGGTAAAAACATCGGTGGCGACTCCATCAGAACCTTTTCAAATTAGTTCCTAGGTCAGTCCGGTTATCGGACGATCTAAGAACACCCTTTCGAAAATCTCGTCTTCGGGTTCAGCTCTGGTTATCGGACAACCTAAAGGCGTTGTAACATTACCCATAAAAACGCGAAAAATGGAAAAGTTCGGAACCATCGTGTCGCTTCTAACCGCCTCTTTTTGACTGCGCGCGACATTACTCTTTTATATGGAATATTTTTAATACATATTTACTAATTTAAAATAATTGATATTTTTTAAAATATGTGTATAAAATAAATGTTAAATAACAATAAAGATACATATCACCAATAAAAATAATAAATGAATTATCTATCTTCTGGAGTTAAAAGATTATCATTTGGTGAGGACTATAAAATGAGGTTTGGCTAAGTTAGATCATGATAAAGTCTTTCATTTGTAACTTTATGCTTAATTTCGAGTATTCAACATTTTGTTGTTCTCTTAGACCATAATTTTATTAATGAATAAAATTTGTTTTGTTTTATTCTTCTTTATTTTGTTTCCTACCTTGTTTGTTTACGAAACCTTCTGCATACATGGTTACTTACACACACACATATATATATATATATATATATATATATATATATATATATATATATATATATATATATATATATATATATATATATATATATATATATGTGTGTGTGTGTCTTACTTTCTTCTGCTTTTCATTTTGGTGAATTATTGTACATCCAATGATCAATTATTTTCACTTCAAAATAATAATAATAATAATAATATTATTATATAACTCTTAAATTTTGTAAAACATTAAAACAAATATGATTCTTGAAAATTATACTTAAATTAACGCAAACATTTCATAGGGTGTTAAGTTGTACTGTTGTAGAAAAATATTGGCTTGCATCATAACATGAGTGTGTGATGAGGAAAACACATGCATGCATCAATTGAAAAGACTAGAATGACAGAAGAAATTTGTTGCTGAAGGAACAATCATAATTGTCTACCTGATGCTATGATACACAGGTCAAGGAGCCATGCGACACAAGAAAATAATTATATTATTTGTGTCTTTAATTTGACTAATTCTATGTGAATTTCAAAGGATAAATGTGTTTTTATATATAAACATGCATGTCACTTGGGAATAGATGCGATTTTGTATAATAGACGTGTTACTAGGACATAGGTGTGATTTTCCGCATGTGGTGAATTTTATATATATCATAATTAAGATATTATTATTATAATAATTGAGTTATAAAGGTAATATATATATATATATATATATATATATATATATATATATATATATATATATTCTAAAAAGATGTTAATTAAAAAATATTTTTTAATTATGTGATGTGAGAAGATAGTTTATTTATATATCTGATATTTATTGAATTTTTAAAAAAGTAAATTAAATCAATTTTTTTTTTGTATTTCATTTTCATAGTTTCTTTTATTCTTAACATTATGACATCATAATTCATAATGAAACGAATATTTCTCTTTTTTTCAAACACTAAAAATATGTGAATTGTTATGTGATTTATTGCTTTAGTTCAAAAGCAACTGAGTCTATGACTTACAATTTATAGCATATAATATTATTACAACAACATCATGTTTCTTACGATGAAGTATATATCAAAGTTTGTAAACTATGAGATAAACAAGTGTCTTATGACTTAGATTATGTTTTTACTTAATCAATTGTCACTTTTACTACAAAATTTTTGGTTTTAAAGTAAAGATGATTAAGATCCTAGTTTTGATGATTAATACATAAAATTGTTGTGTTACTTGTTTTACTTTTAAAATATATATTTTTAGATGAATCTTTAGGATAATAATATCATATTTGCCAAAAATCACAATTTAATCCCTCCTTCTTGTGATGTTTTAACAACTTGAATTTATATCTTCTTCTTCTGTTTTTCTCTCAATAACACTTTAATTAATAAATTTTCTTGTCTTCACAAAAATTAGTTGAAGTCTAATGCGACTTTCAACATGCTAATATTATCAAAAGAATATAACAATTTAGGATAATATTAGCTATCGATAAATTATAAAGTTAATTTATTTCATTTAACTGTAATTATATCTTGATTGGTGATATCTTTATAAAATTTGATTTAATAAATTGATTCATCAGTAACTCACCGACCAACAATTTCAAGTTGGTTCATTAAAAAAAAACAATAGATTTGTTCTATTTTATAAAAACAATTGAAAAAAAAACTTCATAGTTAGGGACGAAATCAGAATACAATATTTGAGATGAGAAAATGCGATAAACATACAAATATAAAATATTTACTTTTTGCAATGATAAAAAAAATCTATGGAGAATATATTTACGGGCAAGATGTTATAAAAATGTAAAATTACAAATAATAATCACTAATATTATCTCATTACAAAAGCCTCGTGAATTTATACTAACAATAAGCATATTTGTCAATCATATTTATTTTATAAGAATTCTTATTAATTACATTTTACAAATAAATTAAAATTTTAATAAACTATTATACTCATTAAAATAATTTTTAAGGAAATAACAGTCAATAAATATTAAAGAATAATTTATTTTTTGATAGTTGAAAAATATTATATCAAGAAAAATAATATAACTAAGTCTTGACCTATGTACTTGAGAAAAAAATGTTGAAACTTTACAATAATAAAAAAAATAGAGTCAATATTGAGGGAAAAAAATTGTAAAAGAATGTGACAGAAATATACAATATTTGTCAATCTGTTTAAAAATTTAAGCTATGAACTATGTGTACAATATTAGTGGCATTGATAAATTAATCCAAATTAATAAATAATCTTTTAACTTTTAAATAAAAAAACATTTAATAAACAAATCATAGTTATTCATAATTTTTAAAATAAAAAATAATAACTACTCAGTTCCCATATAATTTAGTTAACTTTCCAGTTATAATTTAAAACAATTTTTTTGGATAATTTTTATAGTTAAATTGGTGAATTTCTTGTAGCAATATTTATTGATTTTTGTTCTTAAAAATGTATATTAAGACGTATATACAATATTATTTTATTTTATTAATATGCTAAGAATGTAAAACCTAAAAATTATATATAAACATATAGAAATTAAAATAAATTAAAATAATGTGTGCAGGATTAAAATCAATTAAATATAAAGCATAATTTTTTAAAATAATTATATTTAATTTTAATAATAGTAATAATATTATCATTAAACAAAAACTATTATCATAAAATTAAATGACACTCAAATACTCTAAAACTACTATTTCTATAATAAAAACTACAAAAAAAAAATTTGTGTGAATAATATTATTAAAATATAAAAACTAAGAATTATATATATATGTATATATATCCCACTCCATGGAATGTTTATGACAATACTTCTCACCCAACTATAATTATAATTAAACTTTAATTTACTTCACTACACTTAAATGTTAATCATCATTATGGTAAAAATAGGTTAGTCAAACACTGCCTAAAATTGA